CCTGTGGCTCAAAGGAATAGGGCGCCAGCCCCATATGCCAGAGGTGGCAGGTTCAAACCCAGCCCTGGCCAAAAACTGCAAAAAAAAAAATCTTTTTAGGCTTGGTGCCCACAGCACAGTGGTTACAGCACCGGCCACTTATACCAAGGGTAGGCAGGTAGAAACCTGGCCCCGGACCTGCTAAACAACAGTAACAACTGCAACAAAAAAATAGCCAGGCGTTGTGGCATGCACCTCAAGTCCCAGCTACTTGGGAGGCTTAGGCAAGAGAATCACTTAAGCCCAAGAGTTGGAGACTGCTTTGAGCTGTGACAGCAAGACACTCTACCAAGGGCAGAGTCTCAACAACCAAAAAAATGTACACCTATAACTCCAGCACTCCGGGAAGCCAAGGTAGGACTGTTTGAGCTCAGGAGTTCAAGACCAGCCTAAGCCAGAGCGAGACCCATCTCTGAAATAAATAAATAAATAAATAGCCAGATGTTGTAGTGGGCAACTGTAGTCCCAGCTACTTAGGAGGCTGAGGCAAGAGAATCATTTAAGCCCAAGAGCTTAAGGTTGCTCTACGCAGCACTCTACCCAGGCTAGAAAGTGTGATTCTATCTCTAAATAAACGAACATTTCAAAAAGGGATAAATTGTTTCTTTTTGATACAGAGTTTCACTCTGTTGCCCTGGATAAAGTGTTGTGGCTTCATCATAGCTAACATAACCTCAAACTCCTGGACTCAATCAATCCTCTGGCCTCAGCCTCCCTTATAGCTGGGACTATAGGCATTCACCACATGCCCAGCTTATTTTTCTATTTTTATTAGAGAAACTGGTCCTAAACTCCTGAATTTAAGGGATCTTCCCACCTCAGCCTCCCAGAGTTCTAGGATTACAGGTTCTACTGTGCCAGGCCTAAGGGATGAATTTTTATTTTTAGATATCCAATCTATCTGATTTAGCCACAAAAATTAATCAGGAAGAAATGTCACTGATTTTAAATATATGATGCAACCTTTACTTTAAAAAAAATTATCGAGCTTAAACCTAAATGAATGTTTTTTCTCTGACTAAATTTATCTTTTTTTTTTGGAGACAGAGCCTCAAGCTATCCCCCTGGGTAGAATGCTGTGGCATCACAGTTCACAGCAACCTCCAACTCCTGGTCTCAAGCAAGTCTCCTGCCTCAGCCTCCCAAGTAGCTGGGACCACAGGCATCCACCACAACGCCTGGCTATTTTTTGGTTGCAGCCGTCATTGTTTGGTGGGCCCGGGCTGGATTTGAACCCTCCACCTTAGTGTATGTGGCTGGCGCCTTAGCCACTTGAGCCACAGGTGCCGAGCCCTAAATATATCTTAACTCTAAATCCTGACTGACTTAAAATGGAATAGATTTCTTATCCAAATTAAGCAAATTCTCTTCTTACACTCAGGAAAGAAGTTAACTGCAAAATAAGATTTCTAAACTGGGGTCCTCAATCAAACTCATTAGTGCACTACCATTTCAGTCTACTGAATGCACACTCCACTCCTGATGGGACATAGGTCAAGAGAACCCAGTTTCTGCTTTTTTCCATCTCTCAAAGACTTTCAAGATAAAAGTCCAAATTCCTTAATCTGGAATTCATCACCTAATAGCTGGTCTCCAAGGCTTCAACCTTAAAGGATACAGCAACTTTACTTCTTTATAAATAAAGCATATACCCTAATCCCTGGTGTTTGGATACTCTCTTCTCTGTCTCTCCCCAACCATCTTCTCTATCACATCATGATCCTTGTCCTCAAGAGGAACACTACCTAGCAGGCAGCAGGTGTGGGATCACCCTCTTCAGGCCTCCTGCCATGCAATTCCATTTAACTTCTATCACAGCACAATTACCTTACTAAAAGAAATGTCCACTCTGGGCAAGAGCTTCTAAAGAGCTTTGCTTCAAGAGGGTTTGTAACAGGCAGGGCAAGGTGGCTCACACCTGTAATCCTAGCACTTTGGGAAGCAGAGACAGGTGATTGCCTGAGCTCCAGAGTTTGAGACCTGCCTGAGCAAGAGCTAGACCTTGTCTCTAAAAATAGCTAGGTGTTATGCCAGGCACCTGTAGTCACAGCTATTGAGGAGGCAGAGGCAAGAGAATTACTTGAGCCCAAGAGTATGAGCTGCTGTGACCTATGATACCATGGCACTCTAACAAAGGTGACAAAGTGAGACTCTGTCAAAAAAAAAAAAAAAAAAAATCCGCACACCCCTTGACAAAGGTCTAAGTGTAGCTAGCTTCCTAAAGTATCCTCTATTAAGCCAGTACTAGACTGAAGGTTTTCCAACAAGGTCTATTTTATCTCTAAAACTTCCAGGTTCCAACAGTCCATGTATATTTGTCAAATGACTCAGTCACAAAATGACTGTCTGAAAATGGACAATGGAAAATTTGAAAAAAGTACCTCAGATGCTATATAATCTGTAAGTAATTCAACCTGTCCACCTAGCAAGGTTCTAGCAGCACTGTATCCAGCATACAGGAAATAAATTTATCTTAAAGTCCTCCAAATACGGCTCTCAGAAATCCTACTAAGCTCCCCTAGATAGGGAGAAGTGTAAACGAATACATCCCCTTCCAGAGTTCTCAACAGTAAAGCTGGGATCAAAGGAAGCTTTTCTCTTAATCTCTAAGGACCAATAACCGAGGTATTTGTTTCTACCCTCCTCAGGGGAGAAAGAATCTGGCATTTTTTCCAGATTTGATGTCTAACAATACAGCTAGCATATTTAGCAAACACTCATTAGTGTAAGTGCTTAATTCATCTGTAATCCTCATAAACTCTAAAGTTTCACACATTAAAACATGACCAAAAGCATATGTATAGAAACAGAAAGTATAACAAACATTACGGGGGGGGAGGGGGAGGGTAGTTAGTGTTTACTGGCTACAGCTTGAGATGATTAAAAACGTTCTGGACATGAATGGTTGTACAAAATTACGAATGTACTCAATGCCACTAACTTGTACTCAAAAATGGTTAAAATGGCGAATTTTATGTTATGTGCATTTTATCACGATTAAAAAACATATACAGTATATGCCCAGGATTCCCCTTCCCTTCCTCCCCGGCGGCTGGCCTTAGAGCCACAGCATCCCTCTCACATGACTTATCAGTACCTGGGTTTCACCGGGGTATAAGCTAATGGTACCTCCTCCAAGTAAACTTTAAAAACCCAGGAGCCCAGAAAGAGTTCAGAGCAGGGAAGAAAAGAGGACAGTGTCTGGAAGTGGGTGAGCGCTACTCAGGACAGAATTTCTCGCGACACAAGAAGAGTGTCACTCCTGCCCCGCGCCACGTTTTGTTTCTAAAGGTGAACCGTGAGGTTGCACATCCCGTCTCTCCACTAATTCCTACTGCGCACCTGGGGGGCGGCGCGGGAAACAGCGAAGGACTAGAGCCAGGGCCAGATAGTGGGGCGAAAGGTGGTTCCGAGGGAGGCACTTTCCGCTGGGAACCCAGTGAGCGGGCGGGGTGGGGGGAGCAGGGAACAAGCCCCAGTCCCGCCTCGCGGCCCTCCCCGACACCACCCCCACCTCCCCACCGGTTACCCCGGCCCACCGCGCGCCGAGACCTTGGGCGCGCTCTCCCCTCTACTTTACGGGTTGGGAAACCTCGAGCCCAAGGTCACCTGCCTGGCGAGCGGCAGAGACGGCCCCTGGGGCTCCCTGGTCCCGAAGCCCGCGCCATCACCCCCGTGTGCAGTGGCCCGGGGCGCAGACACCTCGGCGATGGGGCTGGAACCGGCCGGGGGACGACTGAGGGCGCTGAGGATCGAGGCCTGGGGTACGGGGCCATCCCAGAGGCGCCCACAGGGCCGCCCGACTCCCCCAGACCCCCAGCCACAGCCTAGGCCGCTCCCACCCTTGGCAGGCCCTGCGGGATAGACCCGGGCCGAAGCCACGCCAGGGGTAGGCCAACAGACCTAACGGAGCCACCGCCGGCCTCCAGCCGCCTAGGAGCCCGACCCTGGGTTAAGGAGCCGTGGAATACTCACCCCTTAGGGCCTGGAGCCCCGTTGCCGCTCGGCACTCCGGGCGCGCCGCTCTCCTCCTCCATTTTGATCTCCGTCGCCGCCACCTCGGCTGCCGCTTCGACCCCTGCCGCCATTTTCTCCGCGTCTGGGCTTTGTGTGAGAGAGCAGGCTGCGCGACGGTGCGCCTGCGCGCTCACGTGATCCGGCGCGACCAGTAACGTCCGCTCGCGCTGCGGCCGGCTCCCGCCTGGTCCCCTCCTGCCCCAGACCACGCCCCTACTCTGAGCCGTGGCCCCACTGTGCGCAGGCGCAGACTGGCAGCTGTTGATTCATTCATCCCTGAAACAAACTTGCATTAGGCAGCACCTGGCGGTGCAGCCCGCCTGCCCTCTAGGTACGGTAAGGGAGACATCTCCCCACTCAACCCACACACCCCCGCAATCCCGGATCTAGTCACTTCCAGCTTCCTGTAACCAGAGCTGGGACAGAGAGGCAGCAAAAAGTTCTGTCTGAGGGTTCCTAAAAGATTCAGACTAGAGGACTTTTTTTTAAAGACAGAGTCTCACTTTATCTCCCTCAGTGCTGTGTTATCTAGCTCTTGGGCTTAGCAGATTCTCTTGCCTCAGCCTCCCAAGTAGCTGGGACTACAGGCGCCCGCCACAGTGCCCAGCTTTTTTTTTGTTGCAGTTTGGCCGGGGTTGGGTTGACCCCACCACCCTCGGTATATGGGACCAGTGCCCTACTCAATGAGCCACAGGCGCTGTCCCAGATTAGAGGATTATTAAAAGACAGGCTAACGCCAAACTAAAATTTTCTTATTGCTATAATGGAATGTATTAGAAGAGATCTACGAAGAGAAGACTTTATTCTTCTTTCTTTCTTTTTTTTTTGGCCAGGGCCAGGTTTGAACCCGCCACCTCCCGTATATGGGGCTGGCGACACCCCGACTTTCTCTATTCTTGATGGAATGTCCTGGAGCATCGTTTCTTCTTTCTTTTTTTGAGACGGAGTTTCACTCTGTCCCCACCCCTATCCTCCCCTAGTTGCAGTGGCGTCTACCTCAAACTCCTGGGCGCAAGCAATCCTCCTGCCTCAGTCTCATGAGTAACTGGGACTACATCTTTACACCATCTCCAGGGACACCACACTCCAAAGGTGGCTTGAGGAGAAGTGGGTGCAGGAATAAGAGGACGTCCAGGTGCAGGAATGAGGAGGGTCTCCAAGGGCCAGCAGAGCTAATGCACTTATGTGTTTCAGCAGACCACCAGCCCATCAGCCACCCTAGCAGGACCTACCCATCTTTCTCCAGCCACATGGTCCTCCCTGCTGCTCTTCTTACAGGACACTGCTATTCCTACAGGCTACAGTAGGTTCCAACTGGGAGTGGAGGGGAGGCTTTCCACTTGTGGTTTCCTCCACTCTCTAAGCCATAGTGGCTTCACCTTGTCCTTCCAGTTGGGGCAGGAAACACTTTTATTCCTCTATAGGTGAGGCAGGGACTCATGCAGAAAACAGATCTTGAAAGAGTGACCCTACCACTTTGAGGCAGAGTTTGCTCATTTGGTTATTAAGAAACTCCCAGGGTGGCACCCGTAGCTCAGTGAATAGGGTGCCAGCCACAAATACCAAAGCTGGCAGGTTCAAACCCAGCCCTGGCCAGCTAAAAGCAACAATGACAACTGCAACAACAAAAAAAATAGCTAGGCATTTGACGGGTGCCTGTAGTCCCAGCTACTTGGAAGGCTGAGGCAAAAGAATCGCTTAAGCCCAAGAGTTTGAGATTTCTGTAAGCTGTGATGCTATAGCACTCTCCTGAGGGTGACATAGTGAGACTCTGTCGAAAACAAGAATAGAAACCCCTAGGATGCAGAATCATGGTCGAGGAGGTACAGAAACATTCTGTGCACACACTTGTGTACAGGTCACTAAAACAGACCCACGATAGAGCAGTGCCTGTAGCTTAGTGAGTAGGGCTCCAGCCCCATATACCGAGGGTGGTGGGTTCAAACCCGGCCCTGGCCGAAATGCAACCAAAAAAAAAAAAAAATAGCTGGGTGTTGTGGCAGGCGCCTGTAGTCCCAGCTACTGACTTGGGAAGCTGAGGCAAGAGAATTGCCTAAGCCCGGGAGTTGGAGGTTGCTGTGAGCTGTGTGATGCCACGGCACTCTACCAAGGGCGATAAAGTGTGACTCTGTCTCTACAGAAAAAAAAAAGACTCATGACATGTTTGTAGCTGATAATGGAAAACTTGTGCCTTTGGATGAAGAGAGCTTCCTGCTGCCCTTGGAGCCTGGCTGAACTGAAATTGTACCTGGGCAGTACCTCTACTTCCATCTTTTGTCTCACAAACAAAAGTTGGCAATCAAGCTGCATAATGAATATAGTCCTGTATTGCATATGCCTACTTGGAAAGAAAATTTTAAGGAGAGGGCCCTAAAAAAAAAAAAAAAAAGAAAGAAAGAAAAGAGCAGCGCCTGTGGCTCAAAGGAGTAGGGCACCAGCCCTATATACCATAGGTGACAGGTTCAAACCTAGCCCCCGACAAAAAACTGCAAAAAAAAAAAAAGAAGGGCCCTCAAAATGCAGCAGACTCATATGGTCATAAACAGTATCTTGCTAGTCAATGACAAGAAAATTAATATTTGGTTACAGGTACACATCCATATCCATCAGGACTGGGGGTTGCTCTGATAGCAGATACAAGATCCAAAGAATGCCAAGTGAATCAGCTGCACAGTCCTCAGTATTACCCTCCTCTCAGGCCAGGGCTGATGCAAATCATACTGCACCTGGTGGAAGTGACTAGCATCATTCTGGGGCTCCTGACTGTTCACACCCTACAGCAGTGAATTCAATTGTTATGGAGCCTAGCAATGCCAAGAACTTTGCACTGATGACTAAAAAGCCCCTACAATGCCAAAACCCCAGTAGCATCCACCTTGGAAACTCGACAGGGTTATCAGTGGGCATCTTGGCTGGGCTCAATGTATTGCTGTGGAACCTGGAAATCAGTGGTTTGTTACTGGATCTGCTGGCAGAACTATAAAGATCTGGGACTTGGGCTCAGCGACCGTAAGCACAGTAGTTATGGTGCTAGCCACATACACTGAGGCTGGCTGGTTTGAACCCGGCCTGGGCCAGCTAAAACAATGACAACTGAAACAAAAAATAGCCGGGCATGTGGCAGGTGCCTATATTCTCAGCTACTTGTGAGGCTGAGGCAAGAGAATCACTTAATTCCAAGAGTTTGAGGTTGCTGTGAGCTGTGACAGCATGGCACTCTACCAGGAGTGACATAGTGAGACTTTGTCTCAATTAAAAAAAAAAGAAAGAAAAATTATCAAGAGAAAGAGATTTTAATGTGGCATTGTCCTCTTCTTCTTCTTTTTATTTTTTTAAAGCTTGGCATTCCTGGCTGGGTGTCTGTGGCTCAAGTGGCTAAGGCGCCAGCCATGTACACCCAAGGTGGCAGGTTTGAAGCCAGCCCGGGCCCACCAAACAACAATGACAGCTGCAACCAAAAAATGGCTGGGCATTGTTGCG